TCATCTTTTAGCCATACTTATTTAGTTCTATTAGTGGGAGGGTTTTGAGTCAAGTGATCGTTCTTGTCAATACTGCGTAGATAAACCCTAATAGTTTTACTCCACTCTAAATAATTTGTGTCATTCAATTTGTGTTTAGTGATCATTGACATGGCTGAGACTATCTCATTTATAGAGAATTTGTTATCACTCATTTTAACTCAGGAATCACAAAAATACCATCCATAATACCCAAAATATAATAGTCAGTGATACACAGAAAACACTGCAAATAAACCAGAAATTATGAGAAAATAGAGTCTCTCTTCACGTACGGCTGCCAACAAACTACCAAAACCTCACTTTCACCACTGAAGATTCTCACTGCCATACGTGTCGTTGCTGGAAACCACCAAAGAACTTCCCTTTGACCGGAAATCACCGCAGAATCCAAATGTGCACTCAAATCTGAAATGAAGCTCGCAAAATCGCCCGAAATTGCAACGGAGAATAGAAAATTGCTTGCTGCAATGTGCTCCACTTCGGCTTTCTCCTCTCCGGCCTTCTGGTTTCATGCTTAGAATTGGCCGACCAAGCTTCTCTTCGACTTTTGTCTTCGTGCGAAACTCGACATGCACGTGAAACAACTTCCTCCGGCACACCTGATGCGCGTGGAACCAAATAGCTAAGGAAACAATTTCTTCTGCTTCTTCTGTGTACACCACTGTGCTGGCCGAACTCTGAGCTGGTCGAAGGTCGATGGTCGGTGGTTGACTTCCTCCAGCGTCGGGAAAGGGTTGTTCAACCATTGTTTTGGTCTGATCTTATCTGACCCCTAAAACTCTAATCCTAGCTTTGATATCATGTAAAGAGTTAAGAAAAATGTTAAATATTTCTTATATTTCATTCTTATAGGAATAATGATATGTATACATACAGACGAATTCATATATGCTCACTAACATAAATTACCCTATTAATTTTCTTTCTAATTATGCTAATTTTTTTGAAAAGATAATCATATTATTATGTACAAAAAATATTCTATAATGTTATAATATCTATCAAAGGAAAAGGAAACTACATCTATGTGTCTCTTGGTTTTTCTCCTGTTGGCTATTTTACAGTGATAATCTTGTCTGTTCTTGCTATTTGTTTAATAGAAGCCCTTCTAATAGTTATAATATTGAATACCCACCAATTTATTTCCTGATACACATACGTGCTCGCATCCATTTTATTGCGAGTGTATGGATGTCTGTATGCATGCATGTTTCTAGTACGAGTTCTCTCTTAGTCAGCATGTGAATATGGGTCTATCTTTTTTGGGTACATCTTTTTGTGCTAACGTTAACATGTAAAGGGTTTTAATGCAAAGTATTACATGTCAATCAATGGTGTTGAATTGCTTTTTTCACAGGATAGAATTGGTGACTTAACATCTGTGGGGGAGACTCTCCCCGGAAATAGGGTTCATGGTAAAGATATCCTTGGTTCTGGCATCATTAACAATCAACCTCCAGAAAGAGCCACGGTATTATTTGCAAGTAATCTAATAGATTAGTTTCTTATTGTTGTTGAATTTTTGATGCTTAAATTTTCTTTTTCTGTACCATGTTATTATTAGTTGTTCCAATTTAAATCCAATTCTTTCTTCTTGCAGGGTCATCATGTCTTCTCTCACAATGAAACCCACGCAGATGAAAGTCATCTGAATTCAGCTGGCAATCTGATCAGACATAGGCATCTGAGTGAACCTACAGATAGAAATTTGATGTTTAATGGTGAGACGCATGCAGTATTTACTGGTGGACGATCTGTGCAAAATTCTCTGGGCCCTGATAGGTTGGCATTATTTTTTTTGCTTTACTCTACTTGTGGTCAGTTTTGGCCCAATAATTGGTTAATACTTAATAATTTAACTTTCAGCGATATCACACTCTGTTACCACTAAACTCGGTTGATACCCTACTTTTTGAACACCAACTTTACTTTCAGTTATGTCAGTTTTCTTTGTCACAAAGGTTTATATGCTGTTAGACTTCTGTAAGTATGTTTGAGGACACTATCCACTGGTCATGAGTGTTTATCCTTAAGAGTTTAAGGTTCTGTTGTTTATGGATTCTATTTTATTGCACCAATACATGTTAGTACGTGCTTGTGACAGACAACTAAGTTTGATGCATTTAACAACATTATCACTACGGCCATTGTCATTCTTGTCGTCTGGTCTATGATCTTCAGGGTTAATTTGATTAATCTGACCTTTTTTATTTGCATGGCACTAAAAACATGACCGGTATTTGAGTAAATTGTCTGAAATTCTGAATCATGCTAAGTGATTCCTGAATTCCAATTTTCATTCCTTTTCTTGACATGCTATTTTCCTTAGCTAGATTATAGTTATTGTAGTGCATGTAATGTAGAGCATTTCTTTTTCTGCTGTAAAATAGATACTGAATGACATCAGAATTTTGCTTTATCTTGTATTTTTATTTATTTTCCTGCAAATCATATTCGTACAGAGAGGGCGCTGGGCCTCGGCATCATAGCCCATTGGATAAAGATGCAATGAGCATGAGGGCAGAGAGATTGCAGATAACATGATGTTTCTCCCTCGTAGTGTACATAAAGAGACTGTATCCCCTGTTTCTAAAGGTGATGGATGTTTGTTTTTTG